ATAGCTTTGCATAATAATAATATTAAATAATTTATAAAATATTTAAGTTATTTTTGAAATTCTAATTAAAATAATAATAATAATTTTTATTCGTATTGTTTCATAATAAATCTATCACTTCTATATATAGAATATTCAAGGATATAATTTCAGCGCAATAATTCATTCCATAATTGTTATTTTAATATTTACACGCAAAATTGACAAACAACACACACACACACACCACACACACACACACACTCATTCACTCACACACACTCACACACACACACACACACAAACACGCACGCACGCACAGACACATGTTTCTTTCATTTCTCTAAGTTCTTCTTTTCCTCTCTATTTTTTCTTGCACTCTTTCTTTCATTTCTTCCATCTTCTCTTTCTTTGTCGTTTTTAAACATCTCCCGGTCTTTGACTTTCCTTCTCTCCGTCTTGCTCTTTCATTTTCATTTTCTCTATTTTATCTCTTCTTCTTTTCTCTCTCTCTCTCCCTCATTCTCTCCCTCATTTTCTCTCTCATTCTCTCTCTCTCTCTTTCTCTCGCTCTTTCTCTCTTTCCATTTCTTTTTCTTCCGATCTGCACAATACACATTAATCCTGAGAAGAAAGCACCAATCAAACACATGTGTTGCTGCTCATACGGAAAAAGCTCTTTTTACTTTTTCAGGTAGGATGATTCCATTACACTAAACTACATGACATTTTCCACACACACATACGCACACACATACACATACACACACACATGCATATATAGACATATATATTATATGTTTGACCTATTTATTTATAACATATATGGTTATCGTCTTATAATGTGGAGTAGCATAATGGTAAAAGCACCTGGTCATTGCTTCGCAGCAACTGGATTCGAATGCAAACAGCTTCCAATCAATCTTACACATGTGTGTGATATGTGAATCTATTTTAATTTGATTCTTCCCGCCAGTAGCTATGCGTCAATTTATGTCGGGCGGCGTATTAGTGTAGTGGAAGAGTGTCCGTCCAGTATTTCACAGTTATCGTGTTCAAATGCAGAAGAAATCACAGCCCATCGTAAGCACTATGTGTAGGGGTTTAGTGCTTTGTTTTCTACGTATGCTTAGACATACGCAATATGTATGTAAAAAGTTTAATTCCTTTCATTAAAATAGAATTTAAAATTGTAAAATAATTAGTTAAAAATAAATAAGATATTTATTATAAATTATTAATTTGAAATAAATGAAATAATTGATATAAAAATTATTAAATAAAAATTAAAAAAACAATTAAATACTTTGCTCTTTGTGGTGATATGGGTGGCTAACTTAACAACGGCGAAATTCCCTTTCCCTATCGTCTTTTCCATGTGATAGTATCCAACACGGTATGGCTCGGATGTGTTCGATTTTTTGGTTGTTGTTGTTGTTTGTTGTTGTTGCTGCTGTTGTTGATCCATTTTATTGTTGGCTGGATGGTTGTTTGGTTAGTTAGTTGGTTGGTTGGATGGTTGGTTGGACGGTTGGTTGGTTGTTTGGTCAGCTGGTTTGTTGATAGGCTGGTCAGTTGGTCGGTAGGTTGACTGGTTGGTTGATTTTGGTTTGTCGATAGTTCAATCAATTAATGTTATTAAAGTTAGTGTGTTTGTAGTTGAGGCTGTTGAGGACAGTATCACCAATACTATTCTGTATTGTAGGCAGGTAGGTAGGCCTGATAAAAGGATTTGTAAGTTTGGAGTAACTAAAATTTCGTCTCTAAAATGGTCTTTACTAAACAACTTCACCGTATTCTATTACTTTTATAAACATTATTATTGTTATTGTTGCTATTATTGCTGCTGTTTTGTTGTTAATATTATTTTTTTGTTGTTGTTTTCGGAGTTTCTTTCAAAATTTGAGATATTTTTCGTCGTGGTTGTTTATTTTATTTATATGTGGTAAATAATTTTTGTAATGGAATGATGAAAAATAAGATAAAATTAATTAATTAATTAGTTAATTAATTGATATTATATTGTCTTATGTACAGAGAAGGTTGCGGTTTTAAGAATATTAATTAAGATATGCGTTGAAAAATTTTTTTGAAAAGAAGGAAAATTTGAAACATCTTATCTTTATCCAAAATAAATTTACCAAATAATTTTTCAGAAATTTTCTTCGATAAATTAAACTATTACAAAATAAACAAATGATTAATTAACAAATACAATAAAATTTAATTATAATTAATTATGATTAATTAATAATTAATAATTTCTAAATAAACTAATCTGAAATAAAAACACAAAAAGCATGTGTGTAACTCGTTCAACAAAACTTAACGAATGAATGAATAAATGAATACATGATTAACCTTTTAAGAGATAAACAGTCTGCAGTTAGAGGAGTGATCGATTGAATGAGTGAGTGAGTGAGTGAGTGAGTGAGTGAGTGAGTGAGTGATGTACGAATGAATGAATAGAATAAAAAAACGAAAGAGGAAAGGAAAGAGTGAATGAATCAGATGGTGAACAGATAACTGAATGAATGATCGACTGAGTATTTCTGGAATTATGCAATATATCCAGTTAAGTCCAGTTTACAAGTAGCATCTGATAAATGAACACATGTTCTCTGCTTGCTGTTGTTTCAATTGTTGAGAGATGCACTTACTTCTAGTAAAAATTTGAAAACTTTGCTGTTTAGTAATAACGGTACTTTAGCTTCCTAGTTTATCTCATTCGTAATCTGATTAGATTGATTATTCAGTAACCTTTATGTTGTTTATTATACTAGTTTGTTTGATTTTATTACAGAAAGAGACCGTTCATAATAATATATAACTTTTATTCTTCTAGACTTTATTTTTCAAGATATATAAATGTAAGCTGTTAATAGGATTAGTTAGTATTTGCAGATTTCAAAAAAATAATTAACGATTATTAAGAAATAATTTTAAAAAATGACTGATTTTTTTAAACGTAAGATTAAAATTGAAGTCATTTATTCATAGATAGTATGCTATATCGACGATTAGTGTTTAAATAATCGTAAATTATTTAAATTTACTTTCATTTATCGATATAATAATTCATTTGTATTAAAAATTATCATTATTTATAGCAAAAACAAATATATTTGTTATTTATGATGGATTTAATAGTTATAGTTATATTACATTGACAGTCAACCAGACAGTCAGCAAATAATAAATGATCACTTCTTACTTCTAATGATAGCTTATAAAATGCCTTCATAAATTCTTCTGCACACACGCAAGCACACACACACATATACATACATTCACATACAATTATATATATACACATATTAGATATATAATTATATCTACACTTTTTATATTATATATGTGTAAAGTATCCATACTCCTGCATATATATATATATATATATATATATATATATATACATATACATACATAGATTTATAAATTTATAGTATGTATACAATTTATATACAATATCTATGTATATATGAGTTTAAATACCTGCAAATATGTTTATAAAACCCACAAATGCGTTTACAATAGCAACAGATCTTAGTGTACAGGATAAATTTGATACCTATTGTTATAAGCGTTTATACAGTTGCAGTTGTATTGTAGTGTAACGAACCAGTTAGTACAAACAAATGAATAACATTTTGTTTGCTTAGTTAGTTAGGTACTGGTTATGCTGTTTGTTTGTTCGTTCGTTTGTTTGTGTGTTTGTTTGTGCGTTCGTTTGAGCGTGTGAGTGAAATGTTACATATTTCACGTGTTGGAGTGTTTGATGGGATGTTTGTTTATTCATATATCCATCTATCTATCGCCCCATGTATCCAATTATCCATCCGTTCATTCATTTCTGCATTCTTCCAAACAGTCATCAATTTATCAATCCATCCATGGATCCGACCATTCATTCTTCCATTAATCCAAACATCCATTCATTCATCCATCCATTCATCCATCCATTCATTCATTCATCCAATGGTTCATCCATTGACTCATTCTTCCACTCATCAATAGATCAAACTTTCCATCCATCCATCCATCCATCCATCCATCCATCCATTCATCCATCCATTCCTTCTTCCGTCAATCTATCTATCCATCCAAATAAAATTAATGCAAATTATGAATACAAGAGCTTGACGTGGCTTATTATTCACTCTGCTTTATTACATAAGCACTCGAGTCAATTCAACTGAAGATTAAAGAAATAATTTTTTCACCGTCTGACTGCCTAGTTGGCAAAAACTTTTATTATTATTATATTATTATCATTTTTTTTATTATTACTATTTTATTTCTAATATTATTATTATTTTTTTTTATTATTATTTTATTTTTATAATTATTATTTTATTATTATTACTTTTATACTGCGGTGAAGTTAGTAATGGAGAGTGAAGGCTTTGAATGAAAAAAATACGAAACAGTACCGAAACGATACTTGTTTACATTACAAACACACACACACAGAAAAAGAGAGAGAGAGAGAGAGAGAGAGAGAGAGAGAGGAGAGAGAGAACACCAGAACCAGTTATTTTAACCATCACATGATCGTCAAGACGTTTCAAACAAACAACCAACCCATACATTCAAACAAACAAACATACATACATACATACAAACAAACACGTCATGCAAATACGAATGAATTAAAATACAATTCCAAAAAAACAAAGAACATTAACGATTCAGAACAAACAATCCTACTAACAATATAATCAATCAATTATTTTCCAAATTTTAAACATTTTAAAAGGGATTGGTTAATTGAAGAATGGTTTTTCCGAGAAGTGTTCGTCTTGAGTTGTCTTGAGTAGTTAGGCGGGGACCATTAAAACGGATTTGGCAATAAAAAGTAAATATCTATATATAAAAAGAAAGAAAGAAAGAAAGAAGGAAAGAAAGAAGGAAAGAAAGAAAAAGAGGAAGAAAGACAGACAGACAGACAGATAGGTAGATAGATACAAAAAAATATTTGTTTAGGCACGTTAAAAACAAAACTAAATACCAATACATAACAAGACATTATATAATGGTTCAAAATTGTTAAAAATAAATATGAAAATGATATTTCTTGGGATACAAACTGATGAAGAGATGGAATTTTGTGGGAAATCAATGCGAGTAAACTTCCACCAAATATCGTTAATAGGATGAAATTTAATTAGCTGAGAGGCAAAACTTTTGATAGTGTGTGTTCTGGACACGTATGTTAAAATTTGAATAGTTAAATGTGAATTCTTAAAATAAAGTATATATGTGTTGTGCGTGTGTGTGTGATTTGTGCTTGTGTGTGTGCGTGTGTGTGTGTGATTTATGCTTGTTTGTGCGTGTGTATGCAAGTGCGTGAGTGAAAGTTTATTAATTAATGACGTAATTTTAACTTGCAAAAAATGAGGAACACAGGCACACACTCACAAACATTCACACACATATTTCCACAAACACACATACACAAATGCACACACGCACACACACACAAACGCACACACGCACACTCATTACATCTGCTGAATAGTTTAATTACAATTGCAAATTTCAAATTCATCCAGCCAGCCAACAAATTGCGCAAGCAAGCAATCATTACAAAAATATTCATTGACGAGTTGACGAACAAAACAAACTGTAGCGGTAGTAGTAGTAGTAGTAGTAGTAGTAGTAGTAGTAGTAGTAGTAGTAGTAGTTGTTGTTGTTGTTGTTGTTGTTGTTTTTGTGGTAGAAGTAGTAGAAGTAGAAGTCTATTGAAAAACGAAAGCTGGAGCGAACGAATGAAAGAAAGAGTGAAAGATTGATGATAAATAAAAGAATGAGATAACGAGAATGAGAGAGAGACAAGAAAAAGAATAAAAATAAGAACATAGGGGGAAAAGATGCATAGAAAGATGAATGGAAAACAGTGAAAATAAAGAAAAGAAAACGAGAGACAGAGAGAGAGAGAGAGAGAGAGAGAGAGAAGAAAAATTAAAAAAAAATGGTTGAGAACAATTAAAAAAGTATTGGAAACTATTTTCACATATATGTGCGTGCGTGACCTTGCACTCTGAGTGCTCTTACTTTGATCACCATACACACACAAAAATAATACAAAAAATCCTTTAAATCAAAATAAAAAATTTACGAAGAAAACGCTTTTGCTATTTAATGTGGTAAAACATAAAAGCAGGTATCTAAAAACCTCATAAATTATATCAGAAATATAAAAAACATCTAGGAGAAAAATTATTTTTATCAAAAAATTTTGTCTCAAATGGCGCCTATGATATCACCATTGTCGTTTTTATCATTGTGTACATTATTATCATCAGTGAGTGTACATTATTATCATCAATTCGTTGAAATAGAAGTTGATAATTTTCAATTTTATTGGCATATGTCTCAATTTTCTAACAAATTTTGCCA